GATCGTAGTTGTCCTTTCGTAATTCCTGAGAGGCGTACTGATTATTCACTTCGTGAATCTCCATACTGATGTTCGTCCACAAGACTTCGATAACGTGCGATGCTTTCTCGATAATTGTTCCATGTCTTATCAAAACTAGCTTGAAGAGATTTTACGCTCGCCAGATTCCCGTAATCGACGAGAAGAGGATCAATTTGCTGACAAGCTCTTGTCATTGCCGAAACATATCCTGCCAGTGACTTTCGTAAGCTGAATAAAGCTTCTTGTAACGCTTCTTCTTGAAATGAACTCGCCATTTTTTTCCGAGAGCTTGAGCGGGTATTCGAGGCTGTCCATGAATGCGCCATAACTTTATTCCGTCATTTGGAATTTACAAAATGAACGGGCAAGGGCCAATTCCATGCAAAATGAACGGGCAAGGGCCAATTCCATGCAAAACACGTAAACTCACAATCAGCAAAGGTTTTTACTATTACGAAACCATAAAACAGTAAATTCCAAATGCTAAGAATAACAGAGTCGGTGGTCAGGGCCACCGAGGAAAGAGATAATCTATTTCAACGAATGATGTTACATCAATAGACACGTAAAAACTGGCAATAAATAGGCGCGAGATAACAAACTATAACGAAATTTACATACAGCACGTATCAAAGGAGCGTAATTAACAAAATACCGGAGAGCGAAAAGTAAAAGAATGCACGATAACAAGAAAGTGAGAAAACGAAAAACAAAAGGAAAAAATTTGCCCCAACGGTAACGAGAGTGGATAGCTGGCTGTAAGAGGCAGAGAAGAAGAAATTTAAACTGTTGGCCTAATCGGCATGCAATCTCGCCAGAGAACCAACGCAGAAGTGCATTTGACTGGTGACCAATCCTCTCTCTGGGACAGCCTCCTACTCAGGCGCTCGACTGGTGATGAACCGCAAGGGACAATGGGAAGGCAACGGACAGCAGGCGAAGCCCGTTGTCTCCTTCCCGCCTTCCTTTGCGCGCACATTTTTAACGAGAAAGAGACGTCTGGGTACGAGGCAGTTCATGGGGCTTCTCTCGATCTTGGCATCAGGGGTGCAAGTCTTAGAGAACGAGGCTGGCTGACTGCCAAAAACATCTGCGTTGGGGAACATTGAGGCAACATTAGTTGCACTAGAAGTGAAGGCATAATGGAATTTTACAATATCTCGAACCTTGCGATTATTTGAACCAAAACCGACACCCCCTTCCCCAGTCAAACTGGAATCCTAGAAGCACTGAATCTTTTTCCACTTCAAAGGGCTGCTGTCAAGTATTAACGACACGTGAAAACGTCCAGGAAATAATGTTCCACTGTGCATGTGGGAAGTTTTGTGTTACGTTTTGTGAAAGAAAACTACGTTCTTTTTTGCTTGCGTTGTGCAATTATAGGGGGAAAAAATACGTATTCGCGACGTTTGGTCTTGATTGTAGAGTGGAGAAAAATTAGTTCGAGGATATTAGGTGAATCACTATGCACAGTAACGTACCAAAATCGCCGCTTTGTCGAAGAGGAGATCTTGGTAGGAGAATTACAATAACGTGCGTTTCGTTGTGACTATTCTTTTTTATTGCTGGGTTCATTGTGTCTAACTTGTCTGGAATCATCAGGTCTTTCGGTAACGACTGAGCTAAGGAGTACCTTTTCTAGCCGAATAATATTTGTTATAATCACTTATGTCATTTGTTTTTAGTAACATTAACTTGTACGGTTACCAGAGGTAAGCCGGACATGCCAACATTAAACCCAACCTCGTCCCCAGGGCTTTTCACCCCACCCATTTTTTGTGGGAAAAGCCCTGGGGACGAGGTTGCATTAAACCCTACTCTCATGGTACTCAGGCTAATGGATGGTATCCAACCGAATTTTAGCTATCCAAATTCATGCTACATGTTACAAGCAAGTATGTGGAGGGCTCAAAGCATGATCCTCACAAGGCACTGGTTCCAGGTATATCCCTACTGACCATGGGTCAGTCACTCCCAGCAGTATAGTCTCCCATTGTGGAGCAGTTTCTTGTCTCAAGAAACAATATGATGACGTGGCCAATGTGCAACCCAAACCTCTCAACTAACTATGGCAGTTTTTGTTCAAACGTTCGTTGTATACACCATGAGATAATGATTAATTACACACAATGTAGTGATATCATTGATGCAAACTTAAGGTAGTATTAAAAGAGTATTACAACTTTTTTTACATTTTAATTACTGGTTGATGGCCTAATAAACTCATATTATGTTTCATCATGAATGGAGTATTTAAAGTATTAGGACAATAATTTTTTATAGAGAAAAAGATGCATCATGAATTGAGCATCATACAATAGAAGTTTTGGGCTCTTTGGGAAGATCTCCTCGTGAGCTGTCTGCTCATTCCATTGTCTGAATAATGAGGTAAAATGTTTAGAGTTTTTGTTTTTTATCAATGTCTTATTTTTATCTATCCTTTGGGATTTGCTGCCTTCTGCTCTGACATGGCTTTTTCATCCGCATCATGTGCCCTTAGGGAAATAAAATAAAGCAATAACGTGATCCATAATGTTCTGATTCAACATCATTTTTCAAATCTTCATGAAATATTATTATATTCCTTCTATATAATGAGGTAGAGGAAGAGGATCAGTTCAGTTGATGATAAAATGACTATGGAAAACCAATTACCTATAGCATGTACTAGGAGATTTAATACAACCTATATATTACAAATGATCAAGGAATCAGTTATTTTGTGTTCCTTGAGTGCATCAATGAGTGAGCAATGATTAGCACATCCAAGGGAATTTTTTTAAGCTTCTCAGCTTACTATTTCTTCAACTATTGGTGAGTTAGTCTTTGATTGACCGGTTTTAGGCTACAGATGTTCAAGTCATCTAGACGCATTGAACATCTGAGACCGGCAACAAATTCAACTTCTCATACCTCAACATGATGTTCACACAAGGTGCAATTTGTTCCCATGTATAAGATGTAACCTTGATTAAAAGCGGTGTCCAGGAAGGACAGAGGTGAAGACGCAGGCGTGATGCAGCCACTGCTGCAGATGTTATTATGGATGGAGGAAAAGTCAAGAACGAATGATCTGTCAGGGGAAAAAAACAGTAAAAGAAATAAAAATTGGATATTAGAATTAGATAAATGCAAAGACAAGTAGAAATCTCCACCAATATATCGTCTTTTTCTTGTGAAAATAATTGGCCTAGAAAAATCTCTTGAGATAACAACCAAGAGTACTTGCTGTTTATGTAAGTGTGAGTATAGTTCTGCAAGGTGAAATCTTTTTTAGTTATCATTACTCTTTCCTTGGTAAACATTTATTGTTATTATCTGATTTAAAAATCAAAGATTTTCAGAAAATATAACTATATTTTTTAGCATACCTTGTAGAGCAATCTCTAGAAAATAATGCACATATTTTCTTGTGTAGGCCATTGGCTTAGAACAGTCTTCAATACTCCTTCCTGATTGACAGTCCTGTGCTGAAATTGCATGAATCAAATAGAACTCCATAAAATTCACAGGTGTTGGCAAGTCTAAATTCCAGCAGAAAAAGTTCAGTAGAAGCAGTTCCATTTGATTAAATTCTGCCACACTAAATACATTATGAACAAAGCCATTCAAAGTTGATATGGTAGGAATCTTCTCTTCATTCTCTTCAAATTTTGCTGAAACAAAAGGAATAAATGCAATTAGGTTTTTGTTCATTCATTTTGCAGAATTTCACCAAAAACTGGCACCTTAAATGTCCCATGTTTAACAATTATTTTGTAAAGAATTGTGAATTGTTCTTAAACTTCTTGAATATTTTCCTGTAGGAAAAAATAGCTTGGAGAATAAATGATACAGTACTTTGCAATAGTTTAAAATATTTGTCTGGTGCATCCTCGAAAAAAAAACTGTTTTAGATCATTTGGGGATTATATTTCATCCCCTGGGACTTAAGGTCGTTTCGGTAGAGGTACCACTGGCTAAGTTTAGAAAATTCTGGCCTTCGCAGGCCCACAAGGAATAAAAATATTGAAATATTGATATTGAATTATTCGTTCTCGTATTTGATATCATCCTGGAGGTCATAGGCTCCTGATATTATATATTTTTGTTTCTTGATAATCGTGCAATGATTAAAAATAATAATGCAGTGGTTATTCAAATTTGAAATTAAGCTTGGAAAAGCACGCCCTGATTTAAGGTTTTGTTACCTAGCGTACAAGCATGAAAAAGGTAAAACTTATAACAAAATTGTAAGATAATACAATTATATATATTTTTGTGTTGTAAGCTGTACATGAAAACTAAGCTGACACAAAACAAGTTCATTCCGATGGAGGAAACAAGAGTAATATTAAGGGGAGTTCGAATGTTGTGACTTCAAATAGCCTTGCTTATGAGAAAAGAAATGCGCTAATGTGGTCTTTTAAAAACTTCCAAAAGCTTACCTGCCAGCAGCAAACAGGACAATGCAACTAGATGAAGTTGTGGTTCCTGAATATCAAATTTGTCCATAAAGTAGTCCATATAATAAACCGCTAAGTGAAGCACTCCATGCGAACATTTAATTTTTTCAGAGATAACAGCAAGCCAGTCCACTAGAAAACGCCTGAGTTTTATTTGAGGAGATGACGAAGTGAAAGGTGGAAGTCTGGCCTCCTTTTCCCGGAGAACGTCGTGGATTTCCTGTGCAAGTTGCGATTTCCACCACTCATTTTCCACCATCATTTTGTCGAGAAGTGCTTCAGGAAAGGTCTTACTTTGGGTTTGATCGCTAAATTTAAGTAGAAGGTTCTAAAGTTATTAACATTTCACTCTATGGCGAAACCACAAAGTTTACCTTCGATCGAGCTGTTTTGCGAAGAACAGTAATGCAACGCGCGGTATTTAGACTTTCGCGGTAAATTCTGTATGCACCAATAAAATAGCTTCATCGAGAGACACTGGTAAATAATTTTCCTTATAAGGAATATTCTAGTTATCAGTCCTTCATCGACTGAGAATTTCCAAAGTACGAAGGAGGGACTGTCCAGAGAAGGTATTCGTCGTTCCGTAAAGTAGTTTGAAAGTTTTCGTGGAAAATTTTTCAGGAAAAGGATGAATAATATTGTCCGCATCCAGCCAATGCAGTATGTTCACCTCCTAGATCTGGTAGGTACATAACCTGGTACGATCCTTCATTTTGAGTGCATTTAGCAGATCACTTGTTTGCTTGCAGCTTCGTGTTTTCTGACAGCAGGTTAACTAGCTCACGATCCTAAAGTTTCGCAGTTATTTTGAAATCTAGATGATGAAATTATCCATAATCTGTAGAGTAATAAAAATGATCACGTCCGAAGGATATTTTCCGTTTTTGCGCACCTGTTCATTGCAGTGCTTGTTTTGCAGCCCTATATCAGTTACTAGAAATATGTCAATTTCACAATGCAATGTTCCGTCTGTTAGTAAGGAATTTACGTTAAAAAGTTATAAATCGAAATATTGTATACAATCAACAGGAACTCTGCCAGGATCAAAGTTATTGAGATTTTGATAAATTTTTGGAAGAGGTCGAAAATGAAATAGGGATTCTGACGTCAATTGATTGACGTCACTATCGCTCGATTTTTTTTTCGAAGTAAAGAAAACATATCAGTCCTGTAGAATGACAAAGGATGGAGAGAATGTTTATGGGAGGCTGTTGCATAAATGAAAAAATGAAATTCATAAAGGAGTTAATAGTTGATTCCAATCACTACTGCTTCCCTGCTCTCCCTCCCCCCCATCCCCCCCCCCCCCCCCCTCACTTACACCCACACATCATCCAAGAAGTCAAGTCAAGTCAATTTTTATTTAAACTCACACAGAATAACTGTAATTAATACAAATTAGCGCTTTAAAATATAATATAAATATAAATTTAGATAAAAAGTATTACTTCATTAATTGAAATAATAGTATTTTAACCATCAATCACAGAATTCTTGATATATTGACGAAAACTGGAAAACGGCTTGATTTTCTTAAGATCAATAGATAAAGAATTCCAAAGTTTTGGACCAGTGTAAGTGAGAGAATGAATGCCGTATTGAGTGGTATGAACAGATTTAACAAACAGATTATCAATCTGTGATTGACGTGTATTATATGAACGAATTGAAGATACTGGGTTAAAATAATTAAGAAAACAAGAAGGGCTTAGTTTATGGTACCACTGATAAACAAAAGAGAGAGTTTCAAGATGAATTATATCAGAGAATTTTAGGAGTCTGAGAGACTTCAGCAATGGCTCAGAATGAGATCTAGGGTCGGAAAAAGTCATTATTCTGACGACTCGTTTTTGCAAAGTAGTTACTGGTTTTAGGTAGGTTGGGTATGTGAGACCCCAAACAGTTTTAACATTTATTTTTCCTTATTATTAATGGGGTAAATTTTTTTAAAAAGCTTTACTTTCTATCTCGCCTCAGCCTGTGGTTCAAAGGGATAATGTGTTACGGGTCAAAATTGAATTCAGGGGTAAAATTGTTTTAAAAAGATGCCCATAACAGGAGTTCATTGGACTGCCAACCTGAAATTTTGTTTACCTGGGGCAGTTACTATTTTATTACAATACGAGGGTATGTGTATGGACCCTTAATACCTGTCAGGAAAGTGAGCATGAAAAGTTATTTTGCCCTGAGAAGGTTAAATATGACATGTCCTGGCTCAGACTCTGGAAAGCCATTTTTTAAAATCCCTGATAAAACCACTTTTTGTGTCAATGATCACATAAAATTAGTTTTAAAATGAAATTCTACTTGTATTTATTCATTTTTCTGTATTTAGAACACCAATGTGACAGTCCTGGAAGTTGGACCCAAGAGTTTGATTCTTCAAGACAATCATAAGTTAGTGGAGGGTCCTTTGCCCTTTGTCGTCATTCCACCTGGTCATTACTGTGTCATTGAAAACCCTGTCAAGTAAGAAATCACAAATTCTGTTTGTATATTTTTGTAGTGGAGTATAGTTAGACATTAGTATTTTTATTTATAGTGATCGCTTTCATCATCCAGGAAATTATCTTAAATAATTTATGGAAATGGTTCCAAATTATCCTTTTTCAGATTTTCATTTGAAAATGATCCATTTATGGTTTTAGTGTAAGGTCATTTTCTAATGAGAACTTTTGGTCTCCGTTCGAGAAAATGAAATGAAATGTCCTGTTATGGATGGGTGTTCTTGATCTGGAAACTGAATTCATGATAAGCATGTCAGTCATAATTACCAAGGAACTAAATGGATAACAATTTTAAATTGACAACTAATTCCTCACCTATAATACAGTGCATTTGAAAGGAAAGAAAGTTGAAACCCATTAAAACTATTAACTATAGTTTGTTTGTTGATATTTTACATTTGAGACAACCATGTGAGCCTGGAAAGCAGTGTGATTTGAAACATGGCTACAGAGAAGTAAGATTTTTTGAGGTAAGTAAAAATTAAGTGACTTTAAGGCAAATTCTAATTTCATTGACCAGTCGAACAATTTTTGCCTCCTTGATGTTGAACTTAACATGTGCAATAGTGGGCCAGCCAGTAAAAGCGATGGTCCAGAGGAAACTCGATCTCCGGCAGGCTATACTGGCTATTCAGTGGATCACTGCAGCAGTTTTTTGATATTTGACGAATACAATGGCAACAGTAGTGAACAACAATAATTATCATTGCATTCATTTAGCCGCAAAAACACATCTTGGAGAAAGTGTTGTAAAGTTGCAGATCTGTAGGTGTTGGTTCATGTTCTTCTATGTCTTTTTTTTTCTCAGTAGTTTAGGGATAGACTACAAGCTACTTTGTCATTGTTCATTTTGTCACATGGTACAGCTTACTGATTTGTATTAATTTTGGAGTTTTTCTTTCATTTTGATTTTGGTCTTGTTTTCTTATTTGTTAGGAGCCTTTTCCTCTGTACCCTGGTGAAACTATTGAAGGAGCACAGCAATTAGCAGGTTCAGCTTTTGCAGTTGAATTTCTGCTAAGTTACACCTCCCGTAATAAAGTAGATACACCTTATCAACAAACACCAAGCCTTGCTCGGCCTTTAATTTGTTTCTTTCAAACTTTCCAGTTTGAGTTTGATTATGCTAGGAGGCAGAATAGAATGGCAATGCATTATATAGAAATTCAAATTTCTTTGAAATGTTCTGAATGGTTTTTCTAATGATTTGAATTCCCCTTCCTCTCCATAGGTGTCCATTTCCTATAAAAACACAATTTAACTGACTTGGCTTTGGGATTTTCAGTTAGGGAAACTTCTACCTTGTTTATGATTAATGTATATGGTTTTTTAATCTTCTAATAACACAATTTTTTCATGTTGATTGAAGTAAAATTACTCTTTTTCCATCTGCCCAACAAGTATTTGACCCATAAAAGAGATTATTGGAGCAATTACATTGTATTGCATTTAATTTCGAAATATTAAACATAGGATACAAATCTGGAATCAAGGCTCTTCCTGTCATCGGACCAAATGAAGGCCTTCAACTATTAGCAATTGTCGATCATGTGGACGGTGATGAAGAACGTAAAACTGGAGACTTTTGGCAGCTGGAGGGTCCCCTTACCTACAAGCCAACTCCTTATGCTGTATGTTAATGTTAAAAATATTATCATTTGATTAGGCCATTTAACAAGAGTGTGCTCAGTGTCCTGGCCTTTGAATAGAATCAAGGATGGAGGTTACCTTGTTTTGTTACCGACCTTCCATTTTTCACTTGTAAATAGTCATGTTCATGGGCTTGTTAGCATGAGAATATAATGATTTGCACATGAAAACCAGGAAGGTTTCAAAGGCCAGGGAACTGAGCACACAACTTTTAAAATAGCCTTTTAATCTTATTGACAGGTAGTTTTAGTTAATTTTTTAAGGTAAACGTAATATTGTTGGTTTTAAGAACTTAGTAGGTAAGTTTGCAACCTTCTTTCACAGATTTGAAAAGAGACTGTCACATGAATTTTGTATGAAACCCTTTGATTTCCCCCATATGCGACCACCTGTTGTAAGTGACTGCAACTTTAATTTCTTTTAAGTTATCATATGACACATACTCTGGTCTCTATAATACATGTTTGTATTATGCTACTTAGAAGAAAAACTACAGGGTTGTTTGTCCTTGTTGAGAAAAGAACTCCTAGTTTGTAATTTGCTAATTTGTTTTCTTGTTTCTTTTGCAGGAAATAGTGAAGAGAGTCAAACCTCGCGTGATTAGACATGGCCAAGCATTACGGCTGAAGGCAAAGCAGGCTTTTGTTGACAACAAGGGGCAGTATGTAGTACATTGTTATACCTTAGTTGAGTGAAACTCAGATTTTTAGACTAAGATTGCTGGCTTAGAGTAGAATTCTGTTCACTCAAATCTGAACTCCCCTGGCCTGCTGTAATTAAACAACTTTTAGCTTGAAAAAAGTTACTTACTGAGCAAGCAACTTTTCAAGCCCAATGGCCAAGGGTCCAAGCAAGACATCATCCAACTATCATTAACTAAAACAAGCAAGTAGTTGCCCTGGGCAAGTGAAATGTGACAGCTGCTCACCCAAAGAACCTGCTTGAATTTAATTTTTTTTAGCATTGAAGAGAATTAACCTGGACTTCATTAACATTTTCGGAATTAAATCAAGCAGTTTTACATGTTATTATTTTATTTTTTATCACTAATTTCTCAGGAAGCGTGTAACTTCAGAAGAATGGTTGATCAGAGATCTTGGTGCATATCTGCCAGGAGTTTTTGAAGAGGTTTGATAGAGTAATTTTAGGAAATAAACCCCCTGCTTACGTGAATTCTTTTTTACCCCTTAACAAACAATTATAAATCCCAAGTTGATGTACTTTCCTTCGAAAAGAGACTCTAATGGTGAGTTTCAACAATGCCACGATTTCTTGAGCTAGTAAATTTTAGCACAGGAACCCATATTTTACTTTTGTTGTAGACAGTAGACAGACATGATTGCATATTGTTTGATCAGTTTATTGTTGTTTGTTAGGTTGTTGGTGTTGAACGTGCCCACACAATGACTGAAGAAAAAGCCCTTCACATGAGAGCAAAGCAAACTTGTATAGATGCGCTCGGAAGAAAGAGGTGAAGTCATTGTTAACAAGTCAATCTGAAGACTAATTTGTTGGTGTTTCACTATAACAGTAGTTTTGACTGAACAACTGCTGTGTAGTTTTTCTTTTTTATTCTCAAAAAAATAGAAGTACCTTTAATGGGGATTTTCTTGATCAAATTAGAAGTCTAATTTGTTTGTTGTTGTGTTGTAAAATGAGTAGCGTTAAGTGCGTCTTCTTCTTGCTGATGCAATAAAGGCATTGTTACTTGAGACTATCTGCAATGCAGCGTAGCACATTTGTTGCAACATTGTTTCGAATCGTTACAACATTGTTCAAATATTTAAATGAAGATATGATCACTGCAGTGGTAATTGCAATTTAAGCAATAGACTGCAAATAAACCGGAAACNTTGATCAGTTTATTGTTGTTTGTTAGGTTGTTGGTGTTGAACGTGCCCACACAATGACTGAAGAAAAAGCCCTTCACATGAGAGCAAAGCAAACTTGTATAGATGCGCTCGGAAGAAAGAGGTGAAGTCATTGTTAACAAGTCAATCTGAAGACTAATTTGTTGGTGTTTCACTATAACAGTAGTTTTGACTGAACAACTGCTGTGTAGTTTTTCTTTTTTATTCTCAAAAAAATAGAAGTACCTTTAATGGGGATTTTCTTGATCAAATTAGAAGTCTAATTTGTTTGTTGTTGTGTTGTAAAATGAGTAGCGTTAAGTGCGTCTTCTTCTTGCTGATGCAATAAAGGCATTGTTACTTGAGACTATCTGCAATGCAGCGTAGCACATTTGTTGCAACATTGTTTCGAATCGTTACAACATTGTTCAAATATTTAAATGAAGATATGATCACTGCAGTGGTAATTGCAATTTAAGCAATAGACTGCAAATAAACCGGAAACAAATTTCGGGATTTCAACGGGAATCGAACCATGGTCTTTGCGTTAGCGCTGCAGTGCTCTACCAACCGAGCTATGAAAACGCATACATTGGGAGCAGGCCAGGTCTTAACCTGTGACAAAATATAGAAACATCTTCATTATTTTCCAGAACAAAGAGCTCTTAGTACATATAAGCAGCTGTTCTATGAGGCTCATCTATGTATTCTGACTGAAGGGCCGTTCAGTAATGAGAATTTACAAATTGCTTATCGTTTTGTTCAGAAATGCAGGAGATGAGTGGCTTGTCACATCAGACGATGCCGAGATGTACATACCTGAAGTATCTGAGGCAGTTGTTGCTGAAGTATTTAAAACTGTACTGTCTCGTAAGGAGTATTGTATAGTTACTGATCCCATTGACAGCAAGGGCCGTAACCAGCTTGGGAAAAGGGAGCTTCGGAAAGGAGTCACAAGTTTCTTTTTACATCCAGGTAACGATAGGGAAGTAAAGGGGAAGAAGAAGGGAAAATAGGAGCGAGAAGTTATAGACTTGTTTTTTCATTAAAAATGTAATTGGTTTGGATTTTAATTTATTCATAACAGGAGAAGATCTGGATGGTGGAATACTAAATTCTTACATTCTAGAAGCAGATGAAGCTCTGGTACTGTCAGCTATCGATCATTTTGATGATGATTCTGCTAAAAGTGAGTTCTTTCAACAATCATTCTTCCACATGCAATATTTTATCAAAGAAAAATGAAATTTTCCCAAATAACAATTTTAGGATTTTGTCGTAGGCGAATTTCTTGGCGTCGAACGTTCGCGGCAATTCCGCACATTTTTACAGTCGAGCTCTATTCCATTCAAAGGATGGTGGCACACACAATTTCCTCTTTGTGTCCCTTTCCATTGATCTGCAGACATGAATCTTCCCCGTGATTGGTTTCCCAATTGGTCGGTTGGTTGATTTTTATTTGCTAGAGTGCTCAATCGCCTCCCACCCGGGAGGTTTTGCGATGGAATCCCTTCGCGGAAAACTTTTCTCTTGAGAGCTTTGTCGATATTAAACAGCCTGCGTGGCAGGCTCAAAAAGGGGAGGGGGGAGGGAGAAAAGCGCGAAAGAGGAGAAGAGAGAAGAGAGCGCCTGCAATAAGAGCCGGTGTTTTTGTATTCCACCCACCATTTTCTGAACTAATCCGATAACGTCAACTGTCAATACGTGACCAATCACAAGTAGGGCCCTTGTCAGCATGGACCGAACTCAATTACTTTGTTTACTAGAAATTGTCAAGTCGAGACGTTTTTTTTCAAGTGATATAATAATCCAGCGAAACAAAAACAACTTTACTGTTCTTGATCCCGAAGCAAACACTGCAAACATATAGACTACCCTGTCTCCCCAATCCCTCTCCTATTTTTCCCTTCCTCCTTATCCCCCACGCAGGCTAATATTAATTATTGTTTGTACCGTTATCTTGTTCAGAGAAGTGTCATCGATCTCCTGGTGATCGGTGGATGATCTTTGGTCCAACTGAGTACATTCCTCCAATAGAGGTCACTGTTAAATCAAGAAGGTTTGCAAACTCATGCGTTTTATGACCTTAAAAGAACCTCAAGCAACTACAACAGCAGCACCTTAAAAACGTCACTTCAAGCTTTGCATAGCTTCCTGGCTGTAACCTGTCAGTTACTAAGGACATTGAAACAACTTGAACCTCGACAGAAGATTAATTTGATCAACCGACGAGTAAAGCATCTTGTACTTGATATAAGATCGGTTTTATACGGAGATCACAAAATGGTTAAGATCCTGATCACCAAAAAAGTAAACGATGAAAGGGTTTTAAATGTTACTGCCTTGGCAAATGTTTCACTGTAGTAAACCAGTGAACGTTGACGCGTGCTAGTAGTATAGGGTTCACCGAATTAACCATTTTTTTGCACTTAAGGTGGCTCGATACAGTTTTCCAGGGCCAATACCTCCCAAGTTTGAGCATAAACTACGTCGCCACAAACAAAGTTTTGAAATAATTGTCACCACAGTTGTATTAGATAAAGATGAAAATTTGTTATGATCAGGGTTGCAACGTCATCGGAGTTGTCATAGCAACGAAATGACGCTATTACCTATTTTACTTGCAGCAGTATATCTCGGCACTAGGAACTGTTTTTCCAAAATCGTTCACGGGAGCTTTTTCCTCCAATAGCAGCCTCGATGTTCGTGAAGTTTAAGCGAAATCTGTAAGAGCGTTATCGAGATATTTTGGGATGAAGTTTTTATGGTTAGAAACACAGTAAAAAATGGACAATATTTCACCTCATAGTAGTTTCAATCGTTTTAAAAACGTGTGTGAAAGATCATTTAGATAGCTCCAACCGATTGCTAGAAAGAAGGGTTTGATTAGTATGTATCGAAGCGCTCTTGCTAGCGGTTTTGTAAACATTTTGGTCTTCTTTATCAAATTAGCGAATAATTTTTAAACCGCTCGATAGATTTTTAAAAAAATTTAAGGTTCTTGAGATTAACCTTCCTTTTATATGACCTTTTAGTTTCAAGATTATTGATATATTGTAAGGCAGTAAAATAAGGGCTACAATTCGCTAATATTTTGGCTGAAATTTTGTGTTGACAAGTGTGAGCCTCTCATTATTCAGGGTATTGTCTCCAAGTTTCATATTTTCGTGCACAACAATAGCTAGCAATTTTGCATATGTCAAATGCATTGTTAGTTACTGCTGTTCACGTGAAGATGAAACTTGGAGACAATGCCTTGAATAATGAGAGGCTTTCTCTTGTAATGACGAGACTTCCAATAAAAAAGCAGCGAATTGTAGCCGTTATTTTACTGCCTTACAATGTATCAATAATCTTGAAACTAATAGGTCATATAAAAGGAAGGTTAATCTCAAGAATCTCAAATTTTTTAAAAAATCTATCGAGCGGTTTAAAAGTTATTCGCTAATTTGATAAAGAAGACCAAAATGTTTACAAAACCGCTAACAAGAGCGCTTCGATACATACTAAGCAAACCCTTCTTTCTAGCAATCGGTTGGAGCTGTCTAAATGATCTTTCACACACGTTTTTAAAAAGATTGAAACTACTATGAGGTGAAATTGCATGTCAAAAGCTCTTCATTTTTTACAGATAACGGCCAAACAACAATATTGTCCATTTTTTACTGTGTTTCTAACCATAAAAACTTCATCCCAAAATATCTCGATAACGCTCTTACAGATTTCGCTTAAACTTCACGAACATCGAGGCTGCTATTGGAGGAAAAAGCTCCCGTGAACGATTTTGGAAAAACAGTTCCTAGTGCCGAGATATACTGCTGCAAGTAAAATAGGTAATAGCGTCATTTCGTTGCTATGACAACTCCGATGACGTTGCAACCCTGATCATAACAAATTTTCATCTTTATCTAATACAACTGTGGTGGCAATTTTTTCAAAACTTTGTTTGTGGCGACGTAGTTTATGCTCAAACTTGGGAGGTATTGACCCTGAAAAACTGTATCGAGCCACCTTAAATTTCATGAACGTGCGTAGGAAGACATACCTTGTTTGGTCTGTAATAGCGTTCTTTCTTTTGCTCATGAATCTTTTCTAGCCGGGAATCCTACTAACGGGTCATGAACGCGGGTGGATAACACACTGTAAAATCAGTAAAATGCGGACAAATTCTGTTAGTAAAAAAGGCCTCCTATATTCTTTTGTCGTACGGTGGCCAGCTCTAGTCAGGTCGTTTCGCTGTTTCATGAAGCCGATTCACTTCAAAGCAGTTTTTGTATTGACGTAGATTTCGACATATGGGAAGGGTGTAGAAATGGGAATTGCAGCGCAAGTAGATCGGTTGCATACACCATTGCACTCCTGAGAAAACCTGTGGTCTCGGACCTGAGAAGTTCGATGTCGCGTACATAACGTAGAAAACAATAAGAGCCTCCAAATGTGTGTTTATTTTCTTCTTTTGTGTAGGTGAAACATTCCTCGTAAGGAAGATTCCTGTGCAAAAATAATTCAGTGCACCCCTTACTGCTCTCTCTCTTCAAAGATTTCTCTTGTAAGGATTTCGGCAAACACCACAGTGATCGTCAACTATTATACACTACTTAAACTCATATTTGTTTGTGAGCCGTTTTATGGATTATCTTAATTATTTTACAGGAAAGCGATGCCTCTTTGTGAAAACGAAGGAATTTATGTCAGGGATACACAAAGTGGAGCTGTACGTACTTGGCTACTTTGTCTGTGAAGAACCTTATAGAAGATTGTTTGCAGTGGTTCCCTTTAAAAACGTCTTTTAAATCAATTGTACTCATCAATTCACGATATTTGCTTCGTCTCTGCTTATTATTTTCAAGGTGCGGGCCGTGATGGGACCTCAGTCTTATCTGCTAAAGGCATATGAAGAACTTTGGGTAAAAGAACTTAGTGAAGATGTGGAAAATATTCTCAAGTGAGCATTGGGCATTTGTTCATTGACATTGCATTAGTTAAAATGTTGCAAGCTTGTTTTAAAATCTAATGATTTATATATAAAATATCTAATAATTAATACAGATATGCGGTCCTCCAAAAAATTCAAAGGTACTAAGCAAGCACAGCCCCTAATGGATTTGGGAAACTCGTTCCATAGTTTCGGCGCCGCAACGCTAAACACCCGTCTCCTGATGTTAATAGCGATTTACCTTTGAGAGGTACTGACATAAACTGTGGTTTGAACGTAAACTATGGACATCTTATGGCTTTTTGTATCCGAGATTATCAGATCACTATTGTGTTACGGGCTATAGATAGCTTAAAAAATAGTTAATAATATATCTTAACATAAACGCGTTGTGTAACTAGCAGCCAGTGTAGAAAATGTAATGATGGAGTTATGTGGGAGCATTTACTCTCTTGAAATTTTAGGCGTGCGAGATTAAAAGCGATGATTCTGGTGTACAAGCAAGTGCGCCCATTGCATTTTCTTGCGTGAGGAGATTAACCCAGTTTTTCCTTTATGCCATTTTACCACGTAGACTAAAGAAAATGCAAGAAAGACCACTCTCACTGACTTTGTCCTATTTTGAGTGCCTCAGGGCTCTTTCAAAAAGCCACAACTTGCTGGCCGAAATGGGCTTTGTCCGAGAAATTTCCACTATAAAGAAGATAGTTTGAGAATAGATTGATCCTGCTTGAGGTTTCTGATTGTTAGTGAAATTATCTTTACGACTGGACTGGTCCCGCGGCCGGTCAGTTCTGACTAGTGGTAAGCGCATCCAGTCTTGGTATCAGATTTAGCTGATGCGGGGGGTAAATTTGCCCCTACTCCCTCGAAATCAGCTTTTTTTCTAATGTCGAGGCAAGGAAGGGCCTTAGTCGAGTTCATTTTATCTCAGGTTTGCTTAAGAAACTGGTGAGTCTTTAATTCTTCTTTACTTGGTAACTTAGGAGTGGAGGAGGTATCGGTAGTGGGGACATCCGCAAAATGGCGTACTTTGAGTCATCCATGGATCCAACAGTCGCAAGGAAAGGGGTGAGTAGTGCTGTGTAAAGGACTGAGCGAGTCTCCAAAGCTTCTTTCTAATTCTCAAGCTGAATTCCTCTTTGTTTTTTTCGTTTCTGGAAAGGGTCGCGACAAGACGCGTGTAATTGTGTACCGCTGTCCAGGAAACACTGCCGTACAGGTAACTTGTAATCAGTTATTGATCAAACGCGTTTTCCTTCACCAAAATGTGAGAATTAATTTCGATGTGGTATGTGAAAAGTTCATTCTAATGCTTGCTAAAATATCGCGGACAAAGTTAGTCATACGTACTGCGCGTTAGAAGGGTTCGCTTGCATCCTTGCATACAACATTGATAGAAGGGAGTTGAGGAGAGTAAGATAATATAAGGTGAAAAGTGCTATCCTTCATCCTTCATAGTACGTGACGTACCGCTGACCCACCTGATCGCATGTTTTCTTGTTTCCTCTTAGGTCTATGATTACCTCAGGAAAACAGCGAGGGTTATTTTTGGTCCAGACCTTGTAAGTAAACAATTAAACAATTGTTTATTTAAGTAGTGACTTTCAAATGCTTTCAGAGTCTTCGTCTTAACGATAAGGTTCCTTTTCCGTCGACTATAAAAAGTAGTATAGTCAAGGATGTTTTAGGCCGTTTTTTGTTGTCCATGTAGGGTCGATGTGAGGTCGTCTGCTGTGTGGATCGATGCTTATTTGCGGAAGAGGAGCCTTAGTAATCGCGCTGCCTTTTCTTTGGCTAAAATTCGAGAGTTAATTTTGAAAAACAGCGCAACCTAATCTGTTGCTAATCTGTTGGTTGCGCACAATGCATGATTTCTAAGAGCAGTGTCAAACTGAGTTCCGTGCGACGGTGGTTTATCGTTATTTTCTTTAAAGCAAGTATAATAAGACAATGATTGGATTCGGTTTTTGTAATATCCGGAATAATCAGGGTCGCGTTAAGTGTTAGATAACTAAAGATTACCTCGACCTTGGTTTTTCCGGATATCACAAAAACCACGTCTAAAACTTGTTCAAAATTCTACCTGCCGTCGGACGTGATGACCGGACAGATCAAAATACCATATACTATCATTTTAAGGCAATATTATGCGTTTCCGAAAAAGTTTCTGGTTTGTGCGACGAATTGTGCGTCTGACTGTGTAACTGTGCTGTGGTTTTGCCAAAGGGCAAGTGCGACGGCTAATCTTGTCAGTCAAGATGTAATGTGTTGTTTTTAGAAAGATCCAATTCACGCAGAAAATACTTTTAAACTTACTTTACTGTCTTTTTCGGCAAATTATTACCAGTTAACATCTTAACTTTCCTAACACAGACTTTTCTCGCTCATTAAACTTTATAAAAGTGTTATACTTTGCACTGATTGCTCCTGCCGCGCGATGTACGGTCGGAGGAAGATTTTGGATGAGACGACAAAAACTCCTGCCTCTTCCTCTTGACAACAACAATAACCAGGCTAGAATGTACTTCTTTAAAATAATTTTATGTCTGTCATACTTTTTTAGGTTGTCCTTGGGCCACATGAGAATTTCAATGTGCTGAGCTTGAGTGGTAAGTCTGTTTGGTTATTGCTTCGTGTTTTTAATAATAATGAACTTACCAACTGCAAACTTAAGTTGATGTCACTTTGATAATAAAATGTTCTCTACGGTCATCGAATTGTCTCGTTTTCAAACAAGGCCAGTAAGCCATTTTCGAGATCCTAAAGCTCTCACTTTCAAAACGAGGCTAAGTGCAAAACCTTTCTTGTGAAAACGAGTTATATTTGCATGAGAATAAAAAATTATTTGTAATCCATGGGTTTGTACCTAGCCTCACTTTGAAGCAGAAGCTTGGGACAACTCGGATATGGAAAGTTTGTGATCATAATCTATAATTACTTACACCACAGGACCACAGGATTCTATCCTGGTTATTTTTGTTCCTTTTCATGAATTCTACATTATAATTCTACTGTGTCGTCAGTTTGACATGCATTACGGGCGCAAACCTTTGGTTTTCATTTCTCCTGAGTATTACGCTCGAGTCGTCCCAAGAAATTTTAAGACAATCCTTATAATGCAAAAAAATTTTTTTTTTTTTTTTTTTTTTGGGGGGGGGGGAGGAGGTGCAAAAAAAATATTTTGTGGTAGATGCGTAAAAAAAAAAAATGGCTAGTCCCAAAATAATGCGCCAAAGGCATTGCAAATGAAACCGAAAAAGCCTGCAAGGGGAGCGAAGAACCCAAGCACAAGAGCCGGACCGAAGGCTAAACTGACGTTTGTTTGGTTTTTTTTTTTGTGAGGACTTTTGAGTATTTTTTCATAAATATTTATTTGTTTTTTTATTGTTAATTATTTCTGTGTCTAAAACTTTTTTTTTTTTTTTTTTTTTTTTTTTTTTTTTTTTTTTTCTTATATATTTTTTATAAATTTTTTTATTGTAAAAAAATTTTTTTTTTTTTTTTTTTTTTGGGGGGGGGGGAGGAGGTGCAAACAAGATATTTTGTGGTAGATGCGTAAAAAATAAAAATGGCTAGTCCCAAAATAATGCGCCAAAGGCATTGCAAATGAAACCGAAACAGCCTGCAAGGGTAGCGCAGAACCCAAGCACAAGAGCCTGATCGAAGGCTAAACTGACGTTTGTTTGGTTTTTTTTTCTGTGAGTACTTTTGAGTATTTTTTCACATTAAAAAGTTACGCGTCGTCGTCTTTCGTTAACACATGAAGGATGATGAAGAGATATTTTTGTAGACAGTCTCAGTCACCCCATTGGACCAGTTTGTAAATGGGGAAGTATTGTATCGTCTACAAAAGTTTGTCTGCGTTTACAAACCTTAACGATATTGTGTGGACGGAAGATGAATTTGGCGTGGTAAACTTGTCTTATCTCTTATAGCTGGGAAGCCTAAAAAGCCAAATGCTTTAAAGACAATATGCCTGATGCTTGGACCGGACTTTATCACGGATATTATAGAGGTGAGGAGAGAAATGAAGATTATGAAGCTGAAGGAAAGAAAGGACACTAGAGTTTAAAATAGACGCCTCAAGAGGTCATTTTTACGATGATAATCCTTTTAATTAATTTTCCTCTTTTCCTGTTTTAAAGTTCTGTCGGTGAGGTCGGTTAAGGCCTAATTGCAGCAAAGAAGAAAAAAAGCAAATTCTGCCAGCAAATTCAAATCTTCAATTTAAAAAAAAAGTTGGAATTAATGAATCGTTCCTGGATTACTGAATGATCTCGGCATTGCCAAAAAAGAAAAGAACTTGGAACGAAATTGGAACGTCTGGTTGAAATTTGCTTTTGGCTAAATTGGCAGTGAAAGGGTTAATCATAACTATAACAAAATTCTCAAATCTGATTGGCTATCAACTGTCCTGATTTCAGCACCGATAGAACAGCGTAATAGGACAGTAAGCGTCATGCCTGTAATTTTTGGACACTACGCGCCATCGTGCGCTCACTTAAATCGCTTTTTTCACTGCTTGCAAAAAAGCCCTCGGAATTTTTTGTGTTTTAATTAGAAAAAAGCCTAAAATATCACAAATTCTGTTATAGTTATAATTGATTGGTAACAGAACTTCGTGTTTTCTAATTCGTTCTGTAATCTTACTCGTGATTAAACAATTTTGTTAATCACTCGTTTGATTAAAGACCGAATTGGACTCCACTCAGTCTTATTAGCATTATTAATCACATAATAATATAGTATTTTATCTTTTTTTTTTCTCTTTGCATTTCAGGTAGAAACGAGTGACCACGCTCGACTGAAGATAAAGATCGCAATGAACAACTTCTTTGAGGTATACCATCAACATCATCAAGCAATGGCTCAGTAATGAATCTATCAGGTTTCTTGTCATTTGTAGACAATATTATCTCATCATCTCCTTCATAGTTAACTATTACCGATTTGCTGTTTTTCTGTTTACCAGACTAACATTTCAAGGTGTCTTGTGATTTCAAGGTACCTTATTCTTGCTAATTTTCGCGCTTACTTAATTTCGCGAACATTCGTTAGCCGGATTCCGCGAGTCCTAATTTTCGCGTTTGCGAACAAAACTAGAGAAAAAGCGTTCTAAATTTCGCGATTTTCTCTTTGTTTTTATTTTCGTAAATCCTGAACAGAGGGCACTTGTCACAAATCAATAAAACTACATATTTCAAACACGTCAAAGCAAGATAATTATTATTGTAAACTTACAACTGCCCTACATATAACCTTATGGACAAGACAAAATATGACTTTGCTGCGTATGTTGTCTATTCAATGTACGCTTCAGAACTTAAAACGCAACTTTAGATGTTAAGTAAGTGTGCACAGTTCAAAAAACACCGAGACTCAGAACATTTTAAGAATTGTTATTGTTTTGTTTTCGAAAATGGTCATTAAATTTCGCGCAATCTTTTGTTTGCGCGTATTGAATTTCTCGAATTTTTTAAAATCGCGAAAATCGCGAAATTTAATACTCGTGAAAATTAGAAAGAATAAGGTAATTTTGCACGTTGCAAAATAATGATCCAGAATATCTTGACAGAGCCCCTTTAGGACTGGAAGAATAATAGCCATTTCTTGTCCTTTTTGTAGGTTGAAAGGGGAAATGAAGATTCTGAACAAGCCATTTTTTCTGTACCAGATTACATTGGACACGCCTGCAAAAGTGTTGGTACAAAATTATCCCTTTTTTTCTTGTACTCAGTCGCCTTGTACTTCGCCCCAGGCTCCCAGGACAGGAGGCCTCCGGTCCCGGCCTTTATTAAGGGATTAAGGGAAGGCTAGAACAGTAAAATTCAAATATGTTGTAAAGTTAAAAAGGTACTTTGTAAACATTTATTTTATCATACAAATATAACTCTTGGCGAGAGACAACACGCCGTCGATTCATAGCAAGTTATTGAAACCAGCCAGCATCTGCTTGAGCCTCGTTATGTAACTGTATTGTGGAACACAGTCGCGAACAAATGAAAAACAACAACCGTTCTGTATTATCGTAGGTTACCGGGGGAACATTGTTCACCCGACACTGAGGGTCTCCGTCACTAATCATCAATACATAGTTCGACTCAAATGAAGATTAGTTTTTCTGTGGAGTACTTGCCCCAGTTATTCAAAAGGTGGATAGCACTATTCAGTGGATAAATCACTATCTAATGGATAACGCAATTAGTTTTCGTAATACTCATCCTTTGGAAAGCGCTATCCAACTTTTGAACAACCGGGGCCTGGAATACATTGGAATATAAAAAGTAAATAGAAAATATTAAAATTCATACTTGGCTCCGAGGCCTTAGGGGAATGAAACAAAAGAAAAGTGTTATTCATTGCTGTAGCCTCTACACAGATGTTGTTTTATTTTTAATTTCTTTTCGTCCTTCGTTCTTTTCGAAAACATTGGTGAGCACGCGATTGAAGCGAGCGCGCGAGAACTCGCAGCCAGGAATGAATTTTAATATATCGAAATTGGTCTAAATTGATGTAAGTTCTGGTCTCTCTGTAGCGAGCAGGATCCGTGGTATGGTCGCACAAGTGCCTTTTGATGAATTTCACCGCTATTCTACATCTGTGATCAAGAAAGCTGTTTTTGGTGTGGATAAAGATGGAAAAATCAAACAAAGACTGCGATTTGATGCNTCTAAGTTAATGTAAGTTCTGGTCTCTCTGTAGCGAGCAGGATCCGTGGTATGGTCGCACAAGTGCCTTTTGATGAATTTCACCGCTATTCTACATCTGTGATCAAGAAAGCTGTTTTTGGTGTGGATAAAGATGGAAAAATCAAACAAAGACTGCGATTTGATGCCAACCAACTTGTGAGTTAATAAAAATCTCTGTTATTTCAGCCTCCAAATCTTTGGACCTGATCCTCAGAAGACGAGGAAATTAAAAAATTAGAGGATTTTGTTTTTCCCATTTTTTGTCCATTTTCTATCCACGCCTTCACTGTTCTCATTCTTCATTCTCTCTCTTAGGGGAAGGGTATTTTCTGGTCATTATTAACTGCTAAAGACGGTCTCGTTTCTATCCAAAAGACCGAGTTCTTTTTGCGATTATAACCTAAGTTCTTGTTATAGTAAAAAGAGCACTTGGTGATGAGAGATACAGTGTGATGTGTTTTCCAAAGGATGTAAATCTGAAGCGGGAGTTTTCAAACGTCAGGAGGGATCTTTGACTCTCTCACAGTTCAGAAACACGCGCTACACAGGCCCTGGCTTCCAGGAAACCAATTCAAGGTCACAAGAGAATTTTTAAGTTGCTTTTCGAAAGAATATTCTCCAATTATTCTGTAAACGTTTTGAAATTACTTTTTCTAGTATGGACAGTATTACTTCGCAAGCTATGGGAGTCGACTTAATGTAAAGTGCATGTGTTTTTTTTTTAAGGTGGTGACTAACGTTGACATCCAGAGCATAGAGCCCGTTGATCTGCACATGAGTGAAAGCCTCAGTAAATCTGTGCAAATGGCCATCGAAATTTCCACCAAGTAAGTTTGGTAATGTCCTTACAGAGAGGCATTGGAAGCCATCTCTTGTATACTAAATATCACATGTGAGAAAGTAGTATAAAGTCAATGAGCTCTGCAACTTTGAATACGTTGATTGGTCCTGACTGTTCATAACCTCTGCTGCTTTTTCGTAAAAGGATTCTTCTTCCCATAATGCCTTGTACATCTCTCGTTCCTAGTACCTCGCGGTGTCAATTGCGATCTCACAAAAAAACCTGTAGAGGAGGTTGCATTCTCATCAAAATCTTGCACTTATGACCTCAGAATTGAAGAATTCTTTTATCATGTGAGAACCAGATCACCCTACAGAAAGATAGACGAAGGACAGTCTCCTTGCAATAATATTGCAATTACTTGTTAACCCTTTGAATATACACATACAAATTCTCCAAACTGATCTCTATACATTTGATTAAAGATCAAGGCATTTTCTCTCACGTGATCATTTTATTAATTCTCACAACCTAATCTGTTAACAATGTATGGATACTACTAGGAGAAAATTGATGTTGTTCACCATTGGGACTTAAAGGGTTAAACTAGTTCATTTTTTTATTTTTTCGTTCACATTTTTCCAACTCATTCTCATGATAATATCTGTTTGTAATCGAGTGGGTTGCCGTTGCTCGTGCTCGATCGTCTTCCTATTAACTCTGCCTTAATGCACAGTTCACATGCGCACCTTGAGAGGTGTCTGTTGTAAACTTAAACCAGTTTTTATGTGGGCAAAAAAGTGAACTTCGGTACCATGCAGCCAGGCATGCTGGCACTGACGCCATACATTACACTGGTTATTCGGCTATATCTGTTGGATTCACTAAACTCCAGTCTAGCAATTTTAGTTCTGGTACGCGATTTTCTAAACTGGGCGTGAACCATATTCTTAGTATGAATCACTTGAATTGAGCATTAGTGCATACTAGAAAGAGGACAAAAGTCAGAGAAAGTGGTCCTTTGTCCTGTTTATAAAGTTCCTCCCCTTTCCAAACCAACTTGTTGAAGCTAAACCAGTTATTGTAAATGCGTGCAATGGAAGGCGTTTTATCTCCTTTGCGTGCTTTTTTCATCCGAGGTCTATTGAGCGAGCAGCAGAACACGAAGCGAAGAGAACAGAACAGATGGCCAAAGGAATGTTAGAAAGACAGAAACTCACCAACGAGAAGGTCAGTCGCGTCTCCTGATAATCAAAAACATTCTGAAGCCGATCGGCAACGTGTTTATCACCAGCTCTTAATTCAGTGAACACCCTATGATTTTCGTCTAAGGATCTGCTTGATTCAAGGTAGTTCATAATTTATGAAGTGACGCAATAAAGCTCCTCTTCCTGTCTTTTAGAGGCAGTGGGATACAGCACCACAGATCCCAGAATTCCGATGTACATCACACTCCCTTCACGTGCCAGGGCCAGAGAGCGCCTGCCTTATAACTGTGTTCACTAAGAAGCCCGCGGTTTATCTACGTAATATGAGGGTTAAAAGTTCGTCGTATTTGTAGGACGCTGTTATCTCAGCCGTGCCCTATATTTATTATCATTTATAATTTGATATTGGTTGGCCGAGTTTTACACCTCTCAGGTACTCTCTTGTTGAAAAAGAACAAGAGAAGAGGCGCTGAACTGTTGGCTCGCAATCATATGTATAATAGCCGACTGCGAGCAGTCTCCCTTTTTCTTCAGATTTAGTAAGCGGAGTGCACTCGCGCGAAAGCCTCTCCCGTCTCGCGCCTTTCATCACGCACGTGGTCATTTTCATGTCTCGCGCGTTTCGCTCGACGCACTAAGGAAAAACAGGGAATGCTCGTGGTCTCTATGTACAATCTCTTTCCCTTGTTTCATTTTACTTGCGTGTTCTCTTGGTTCAGATAGTTTGCTGCTCTATATTTAAGTTAGTGTTAATCTAGATTTTAAGTATATATAATTTTTATTTTTATTTGCAAGGAAGCTGAAAATGCGCGGGTGAGTTTATTTGAACTAAGAGCTATCACCGCTGCTGTCGAATCTTCCGGACAGAAGAAAGCTGAAGCACAGGTCAGCAAAGTGATTTTTTCTTCCATTGTTAGCAGTCAGTATATTTGTGAGTACACTGAGCGTCTGTGGCTCAGAAAGGGATATACCTCTGAAAAACAAATGCCCGACAATCTCATAAAAGTGTTTGCCTCGAACTCTTGGTGTCGCCAGTTGATAAATAATTGATATCCTTATGCACTACGTGTCTTAGACAGTCAGTGCTCGCGTTTAAACTTAGTTTGAAGGTTTCATTTAAAGCTATGTTCTTCACATTTAGCAGTTTGTTTACAGGTTGTGATTTTAACTTATTTTTATAAAGCTGCTTATTACAACAAATGAAACCCGGAAATTGCTTAACCATGAACATTTTTTTTAATAGAATAGTGCAACCTCGCTAAACTGTATTCTTTCGCTCAGTACGCGTTTCTCTCCCCATGGGTACAGTATACAAACGCGCCCTCGACTGCAGTACATGATTGTGACTTACGATGAGCGTTACCAGAACTACTTATTATTAGGGAGTAACTTGTACTCTGTTACTTTGTTTTCTTAAAAAAACAAAACCTGTATACTTCGACAGGCTCAAGCCGAGCGGTTACTGATCGAAGGAGAAAGTGCGATCGAAGGTATGAAATTGTGTTTCCAACAACTTTAAACCTTGTTACCGCTTTTTATTGCAAAAATACAGGTTAGATTTTTTCGATACAGATAGCAGGATCCGTGGTATGGTCGCACAAGTGCCTTTTGATGAATTTCACCGCTATTCTACATCTGTGATCAAGAAAGCTGTTTTTGGTGTGGATAAAGATGGAAAAATCAAACAAAGACTGCGATTTGATGCTAACCAACTTGTGAGTTAATAAAAATCTCTGTTATTTCGGTCTCCAAATCTTTGGACCTGATCCTCAGAAGACGAGGAAAAGTTGAACCCGGAATTAAAAAAATTAGAGGATTTTGTTTTTCCCATTTTTTGTCCATTTTCTATCCACGCCTTCACTGTTCTCATTCTTCATTCTCTCTCTTAGTGGAAGGGTACTTTCTGGTCATTATTAACTGCTAAAGACGTTCTCGTTTCTATCTGAAAGACCGAGTTGTTTTTGCGATTATAACTTAAGTTCTTGTTATAAAAAGAGCACGTAGTGATGAGAGATACAGTGTGATATGTTTTCCAAAGGATGTAAATTTGAAGCGGGAGTTTTCAAACGTCAGGAGGGATCCTTAACTCGCTCACAGTTGAGAAACACGCGCTACACAGGCCCTAGCTTCCAGGAAACCAGTTGAAGGTCACAAGAGAATTTAAGTTGCTTTTAGAAAGACTATTCTCCAATTATTCTGTAAACGTTTTGAAATTACTTTTTCTAGTATTGACAGTATTACTTCGCAAGCTATGGGAGTCGACTTAATGTAAAGTGCATGTGTTTTTTTTAAGGTGGTGACTAATATTGACATCCAGAGCATAGAGCCTGTGGATCTGCACATGAGTGAAAGCCTCAGTAAATCTGTGCAAATGGCCATCGAAATTTCCACCAAGTAAGTATAGGTAATGTCCTTACAGAGAGGCCTTGGAAGCCATCTCTTGTATACTAAATATCGCGTGTAAGAAACTGGTATAAATTCAATGAGCTCTGCAACTTTGAATACGCTGATTGGTCCTGACTGTTCATAGCTTCTGCTGCCCTTTCGTAAAAGGATCCTTCTTCCCATAATGCCTTTTGCATTGCTCGTTCCTAGTCCCTCGCGGTGTCAATTGCGATCTCGCAAAAAACTTGTAGAGGAGGTTGCATTCTCATCGAAATCTTGCACTTATGACCTCAGAATTGAAGAATTCTTTCGTCATCTGAGAACTAGATCACCCTACAGAAAGATAGACGAAGGGTAGTCTCCTTGCGATAATATTGCAATTACTTGCTAACCCTTTAAATATACACATACAAATTCACCAAACTGATCTCTATACATTTGATAAAAGATCAAGGCATTTTCTCTTAGGTGATCATTTTATTAATTTTCACAACCTAATCTCGTAACAATGTATGGATATTACTAGGTGAAAATTGATGTTGGTCACCATTGGGACTTAAAGGGTTAAACTAGTTTATTTTTTCGTCCACATTTTTCCAACTCATTCTCATGATAATGTCTGTTTGTAACCGAGTGGGTTGCCTTTGCCCGTGCTCGATCGTCTTCCTATTAGCTCTTTCTTAAATGCACAGTTCACATGCGCACCTTGAGAGGTGTCTGTTCTGAACTTAAACCAGTTTTCATGTGGGCAAAAAAGTGAACTTCGGTACCATGCAGCCAGGCATGCTGGCACTGACGCCATACATTACACTGGTTAATTGGCTATATCTGTTGGATTCACTAAACTCCAGTCTAGCAATTTTAGTTCTGGTACGCGATTTTCTAAACTGGGCGTGAACCACATTTTTTAGTATGAATCACTTGAATTGAGCATTAGTGCATACTAGAAAGAGGACAAAAGTCAGAGAAAGTGGTCCTTTGTCCTGTTTATAAAGTTCCTCCCTTTTCCAAACCAACTGATTGAAGCTAAACCAGTTATTGTAAATGCATGCAATGGAAGGCGTTTTATCTCCTTTGCGTGCTTTTTTCATCCGAGGTCCATTGAGCGAGCAGCAGAACACGAAGCGAAGAGAACAGAACAGATGGCCAAAGGAATGTTAGAAAGACAGAAACTCACCAACGAGAAGGTCAGTTGCGTCTCCTGATAATCAAAAACATTCTGAAGCCGATCGGAAACGTGTTTATCACCAGCTCTTAATTCAGTGAACACCCCATGATTTTCTTCTATGGATCTGCTTGATTCAAGCCAGTTCATAATTTATGAAGTGACGCAATAAAGCTCCTCTTCCTGTCTTTTAGAGGCAGTGGCATGCAGCACCACAGATCCCAGAATTCCGATGTACATCACACTCCCTTCACGTGCCAGGGCCAGAGAGCGCCTGCCTTATAATTGTGTTCACTAAGAAGCCCGCGGTTTATCTACGTAATATGAGGGTTTTAAAAATTCGTCGTATTTGTAGGACGCTGTTATCTCAGCCGTGCCCTATATTTATTATCATTTATAATTTGATATTGGTTGGACGAGTTTTACACCTCTCAGGTACTCTCTTGTTGAAAAAGAACAAGAGAATAGGCGCTGAACTGTTGGCTCGCAATCATATGTACAATAGCCGACTGCGAGCAGTCTCCCTTTTTCTTCAGATTTAGTAACCGGAGTGCACTTGCGCGAAAGCCTCTCCCGTCTCGCGCCTTTCATCACGCACGTGGTCGTTTTCATGTCTCGCGCGTTTCGCTCGACGCACTAAGAAAAAACAGGGAATGCTCGTGGTCTCTATGTACAATGTCTTTCCCTTGTTTCATTTTACTTGCGTGTTCTCTTGGTTCAGGTAGTTTGCTGCTCTTTATTTAAGTTAGTGTTAATCTAGATTTTAAGTATATATAATTTTTGTTTTAATTTGCAAGGAAGCTGAAAATGCGCGGGTGAGTTTATTTGAACTAAGAGCTATCACCGCTGCTGTCGAATCTTCCGGACAGAAGAAAGCTGAAGCGCAGGTCAGCAGAGTGATTTTTTCTTCCATTGTTAGCAGTCAATATATTTGTGAGTACACTGAGCGTCTGTGGCTCAGAAGGGGATATACCTCTGAAAAACAAATGCCCGACAATCTCATAAAAGTGTTTGCCTCGAACTCTTGATGTCGCCAGTTGAGAAATAATTGATACTCTTATGCACTACGTATCTTAGACAGTCAGTGCTCGCGTTTAAACTTAGTTTCAAGGTTTCATTTAAAGCTATGTTCTTCACGTTTAGCAGTTTGTTTACAGGTTGTTATTTTAACTTATTTAGATAGATAGATAGATAGATAGATAGACAGACAGACAGACAGACAGACAGACAGACAGACAGACAGACAGACAGACAGATAGACAGATAGATAGACAGAACCAGAACTACGTATTATTAGGGAGTAACTTGTACTCTGTTACTTTGTTTTCTTAAAAACAAAACCTGTATACTTCGATAGGCTCAAGCCGAGCGGTTACTGATCGAAGGAGAAAGTGCGATCGAAGGTATGAAATTGTGTTTCCAACAACTTTAAACCTTGTTACCGCTTTTTATTGCAAAAATACAGGTTAGATTTTTTCGATACAGA